ATTAACTCAAGTAAATCCAATGAAAAGCCAAATAAAGCTGTATTTCTATACTGTACAAAAGAAAATTTACATTCCTAATGTAACTAGGTACATTTAGGGAAATTACATATCTCTTGAGAAGCACAATATTTAACATCTTAGATATATTTCTGCATTGCAGACTGATATTGAGTTTTATACATCTTTATTTACAATAACTTAAAATATTTTCTCATCTCTGGCAGTTTATTTACAAGGTCAACAGTGACTACATTTCACATTTCAACAATCAAAAGGATTAACCAATTCAGTAACAGTTAAGATAATGGCTTACATGCACCAATAAATACGATCTTAAATGTGCAGGCTTTGTTTCCTTTAGCTCTGAAAAAAACGAAAGTCTTCACTAGTCTTAAGTTGGAAGGACATCATTCAGTAGAGATCATCTTTTCTGCATGCCTGTCCTTTTATATTTTTCACCAGCACTATTTCCCAAATACTTGAGTTTATACCAAGCTATATGTTGCTGGTGAAACAGAAGAGCTTTTCTGTAAATTCCATATCCTATTATCAAACAAATGAGAGTAGGATATTTGTTGCTTATTTGTCCACTGTGACAGAGATCAGACTACATAATGCCAAAGTAGTAAAAATCCTTCAGGAATTGTAAGCTTGGGGGAGCCAGCATGAGAAAAATAGTGGGAAAATAATATTTGAATGGTAAAAATAGTTTTACTCAACCAGTCACACTAAATGAAAAGCTAGCATAATTTTTACAAAGTATGAACCAGATTCACTATAAATTAGTTGATGAACTTATTACAAATGTTTAAAAACACTACATGGAGCATCTCTCTCAATCCAGTTGGATGATAAAACTTGAAAAACCCAACATTAGTAATTGTTAGCAAATATTCTCTTTTCAAGATAGTTTGATCAATACATTCATAATTTTTTAATTATCAGTTGACATGGAAATATAATACACAGAAGCTGTTTGGGACATCACTTAATATACATTATATTTCATGTCTTCAAAAAAAGTCAACATCTAATAGTTGAAATTATGTTCTTTAGTGCTTAATGATTTTCCTATGTTTGGTTTGGTTTCCAAAAACCAAATGTTTTTCTGTAAAGGAAAAAACACCGAAGAGTAATATTATACATAAAGTATGTAATCAAACTGTTCCATTTTAACCAATTCTATTCATATTAGAAAACTAAAATTGCCCACCTAAAGAGGTACATTTCCAAAATTTCTCCCTTAATTAAAACATAAAACCACACAACATACCAATTTTAGAATATCCCCCCCACCCTCTAATTACACGTCTACTCACTAGAACCCTTAATTTGACTCAGGGGACATCAAAATGTCCCATTAGGAATATTTAGACTTAACCTTTTTGTGACCCGGTTCTCTGCTGGAAATGTAAAATGCTAATGTCTAACTGATGTCATAAAACCTCAGAATGGAATCTTGTAGCTCGTTGTACACCCATTTTAAGGGTCAAAGGATCTTTTCATATTTATTTCCATCAGGGATAGAAAATAGCTTTTAGATTACAGAGATTAGCACAATAAATTTATATTTGGTCAATATATTTTCTTTGGTAAATTTTATAATCAGTGGAGATATAGAGAAGTTTGTCTGATAATAACACTCAAATACAGCAATCCATGTTGATATCAATTCTGTGATTGGAGGTGGAATGATCAATTAATCTTTAAAAAGAAAAGGATTTATTAGACCTACTTCCAGATATACAGTTAAAACAAAAAGACTCATATTTTAACCTTCACTTAATTATAAAATTTAGGGATAAATTCCCTATTAAACATAACAACAGTAAACTGAATGTGCCTTACAAACATCATGAAAACATTTTCTCAACATTCAGAAGCAAAACAGAGAATCTACATTTCATTCCTATGCTGCCAGTTATTTCACATCATTCTCGGCTGCCTGCTAACACTGCGTGCTGATCAGTTTCCTCTTGTGTCTATTTTTTATGTGACTAAGGGCTAAGGTAATTTTAAACCAAAAATACTGAAGAGATTGAAGTTACCCCCATTTTATGGTGTGTAGATAGGTTTAAAAGGAAAAGTCCTACATGGGCAGGGGAAGGTTAGGTGGAGACAGCTCCTCTAATTCTAATGGCTTGGAATAATCACGTCAACTTCTGACATGGCCCAAAATCTAACATTGTTAAGTATACAGTGGCTGACTCTGAATTTTCAGTGCCAATATGATATACCTCCTAGGTAGACATAGCACAGGTAATACTAAAATGTATCTTACATTATCAAGGTGATATCCTTGGCAATGGAAAACTACCAATCTGGGGACTCATTCTATAGGTACTACATTCTATTTATAATTGGAGAAGTATTCTAATTCCTTAGAGTTTAATATATCAATGATTTCTAGTTGGTTTTCAAACAATTTGTTTCTAAAATTCACTTTAAAAAATTAAAGTATTACAAATAAGTGTCTCAAACAACTTAATGGTTTAAAACATGACAGCAATTATTTAACTTGACAGATGAAAACTCTCATGTTATGCCTGTGTACCATAGCCAAGGGGATCAAAAATGCCCTTAAGCTTACAGATTTCCTGCCCACAAGCCTGGCCTATTGAACTTTTCCTAAACTCAAAACAAACAAACAAGCAAGAAATAACTGAAATACTGATTAACAAACAAAAACTTATTTGTTGTAATTCAAAATCAGAAATGCAGAGCTCTCCTTGGGAGTGTTGGCATAAATAGTGCACTAACCTTAAAAACAGCGCCCCCCCCCACTATTTACAAAGGAATATGCAGAGAATTAAATGAGAAAACTGATTGTCAACAATTAAAGGATTCAAGCATGGCCTTAAGCCTCACTAAGTGAGGTAGAAATAGCAAAGTAAAACAAAACCCTTCATTGAAATACTTGCAAAAGGTGTGCAAATGAAATAATTTAAAAGTTATTCTCACTATTCCAGTGTCTAATAAATAATTATAATTAATTTAATGCTACTAAATGGAATTAGAGGATTCACGTTAGAAATATCAAGCTTATATAGCTGAGACATTTAAGACTTTTATATGGTACATACAAGACCACTTCAAAATGTTCATGGAAAACCCATGAATTTTTTAAAAGACTCCTTGTATATTTTAAATGATGACATAGTCACTGTTCTGTTATGGAATCACACGCTTGATACACACAGCGTTTTTCCAATCATATAAAGAAATGTTACTCCTATCTGCACCAAGTACAAAGTTCAATTTCTTTCTATATTAGAAATGAATGGAATGAAGTTTATTTAAAGTTCACCTTGCAATATCCCATTGTGCAATAATACAATTAATTCACCACCTGGGTGACTGTGAAAGCTGGCTGTTTCAAAAATTACTTTAAAATGGCTAGAAACACTGATCAAAGCCATTTCATTGGTTTTATTTCACATTTACATAAATTCCTAGAAATAAAATCAATAAGATGGCAACATACATATGTTATCTGACAGAAAATAGTAAGGGATAAATTAGAACAAAAAACAATAACTCTATCCTTAGATTTGTATAGATACCTACATTCCCAACACTTCCCTATCTATTTTTTACTCTATTTTTTTGAATACTTTTCTTGCCGTGCTGTAATATCAGCTATAAGACTAGAACTAAATAAACTGTAGCCATGTACCATTTATTGTAGTACGCGTAAAGGGAGGCAGTGGCTTGTTGATATGTATTAGATAAGAGATGGGTTTGATTCTGGCTCTGCTTTTGAGTTATGTGACCAGGACCATGTTACAGCTTCTCTGATGCTCAGTTTCCTGAGGATGGATAGATAAGGGACTAGGATTGGGAGACTACCTAGATTATCTCTGGGGTTTCTTCTAGCTCAAAAATTCGGATTCTATAATAATAGGCACAGTCGAGTGGGAGGGTCAAGGTGGTGGCAAAGATCAGGATTTAACATTACAATCATTTTCTCTTCCTAGCTTCCCAAAATATTTTCATCTTAAAATAAATCTCTTCTAGTCAATTTTTCACTTTACATTTTACTTTGTTTTCTAGCAATGTGATTTTTAACTATAATGTCAGATGTTCCATAGCCTTCAGACACTTCTTTTCCTGAATCCATCCTAGCACAGATGACGTCAAATTGTTTTATTATAAAAAACAAGCATTTTATCCCTAAATAGCCTTTTCAACGATGGCTGGACATTATAAAAATGGAAATTATAAAGTGAAAAACAAAAGCTTATTAAAGGATAAGGTATGAAGGTTGTAGGTCAATATTTGTAACAGCATTGCTGTATATCTCAAACAAACTAATTCAAATTAAATGCAAATGACTATTGAAAACTTTGGCTTGTTAAACTAACTTCTTCCATTTTAACCAAGTCTTATACAGGACATCTGTTCCAAGAATCTGAATGCAAAGTTTTAAACTAACAGAGATATTTCTCATTGGTCCTAAGTCACATTCCCAAAAGAATGGAACGCAAATATTATAGGATCAGAAAACATTACCAGGAGGTATACATATAAAATATATACACATGCTCACTGATAAGTTGAAACTTTTTCAAAACCCAGTTCACAGATACAACATACAATTTTTAACAAACAAGGGAATTTTTATCTAATTATATTAATTATAGCTTTGTAATGAGATATTGTGTGTGCTTTAACTAGAATTAAAGGGACCTGCTGGCGAGAAGGATGCGGTGACCTGCTCTGGGACAGAGTTACAGCTTCAGAAACCGAATGAGTCGGACTCAGGTCAAAGGCAGTGGGACAGGGGACTTAACTAGAATTATGTTTTAGATGTCAGTAAAAACAAAATTTTCAGAAATGAAAATAATTATTCTGTCCTCAACAAACCAGGTGGTTTATCCTCAAAAATGACATCCCTTAGTCAAATTAAAAGCAGCACAGGACATCTAAAATACACTTTTGTGATATATACACATACATGCACATACCATACACAAACACACAAATCAACAGATCATCTGTCACCTTTTAGTTTACTGCAGATTTTGGCAAAGTTGTACATACTAATTCAGGTTCTAATTTTATTTCCATACGAGCTGAAAATATTATAGATCAACAAATTCAAACAAGATTGTTGATCTTATAAAGATTTTAACAGAAAACCCCCTTTAGAAATGCTCTTATAAAACAGAAAGAAGGGAGGGGAATTTTTTTAGGTGTGGGAAAAAATAAGAAATTGTTTTCCCTCGTTTTATTAATCAAAATCCATTGTAATTTTAATTGGTAAACTTAAAACTTTGTTAATTAGAAGAATACTTGCTTTCTAGAAATTCAGTATATAATTTTTCACAATAAAGTAAAAATGTCTAAACGTACAAAGTACTAATAGCTCTGATTATTTTTAATCTTCAACTATTTTTTATTTGAAGTAATTAAACTTGTGACTCGAAAAGTAATGTATGTTCACTTTAGAATCTAATGTGTTTTATGGAAGGATAAGTTAACATACCAACTCACACTGATTTTCAAAAACCTAATATTTCAAGCCAGAGTCTAAGATCCAGAAGAAATTATGGATAATTGATTAGATAAATTAGATAATGAAAATTTATCTAATCAAATCAGAACAAAAATATTTTTTTCTCTTTACTAATAATGAATTTTTATAGCCTCTTAGCACAGTTACCAAATGCTACTTATATTACATTCAACATCTAGCATACTGGCATGATTTCAAAATTTTATAAAAATGAGAAACTTCTGCAGATACATGACTAGAAGGTACACAAATTGCATTCATTACATTAAACACAAAGGCAGTGTGGTCCTTATAGGAGAAATTAAGTCAGTACTCCCTGGTAGAAATGTTCTATAAAAATGTGTCAACACTGAAGCATCAGTGTTTTCCGCCAATTATCTGTCCCTGATGTGTTTCCTTGGCATATATGACCTACCAGGACTTAACATTTTGTAATCCAAAGTATCTGAGTGTAGGTACATCTAGAAAGCAGCTGAAAGGGTTTCTCCAATTATCTGACCACAGAAAATGGATGGAGAAATCCCTCTCTTTACCTGAAGACGTACTTGTTCTATTTCAGTCATCACCAACTCACATATGAAAACAAACAACATAAAAACCAAGCAAAATCTTCCCCAGCACACACACAATCCCACACAAGCTAAACAAATACCATCCCTCCCCTACCCAGCACCATGTCAATCATTCCTGGGAAACAGAACATGCCCCTGGGATGCTCTGATTTGTTAGTTGTTGAAACTTGAAGGACAGAAATGACCCTATGTCCTTATTGGGAAGAGGGAAGACATGTTAATTATGACTATAGAGCCATTGAAAGTGCATTATCAACTACGTAATCAACACCCCCTCATCAACAGAGGAGACCAACTTGATTTGAATGACTCAGCATTGACATTTAGGTCCTCAGGATAAAGGAGATGAGGAAAAGAGATGGGGAAAACAAAGAGCTACCCTCATTTAATGAAAATGTACAGCAGTCTGCCACCCTCCCCCATGCTTCTCAAGCAAACGACTGCACAGACTCAGAGAAGTCTAAAGTCATAGCAGAACCTCTGAGGCACTCCTGGTTAAGAGAAGAAAATATGATCCGGTAGTCTTCATAGTTCTACAGATTATGAGAACAAACCCGTTTTGCATTGTTTGTTTTTTTAAAAAAACCAAAACCAAAGAATCATTTCATAGGGATCATATACACCATTTCCTCTAATATATCCTCAGTCTCACAGTGCTGAAATGGGACTGATCACCCTACGATGGATTGCACATCACCCAAGGAGAAAGGAAGGCATAGGAAAGGCATACACTTTATACTGCTTCACAAACACATTTACAAGGAATAGGTGAAAAGGAGACGAAGGAGAAAGAAAGAAAGCCTTATTGCTGTTTCCATACGAAATACAGTATGAAGACACCTACACTCAATCTGATTACAGTGACCAGTAGTTTCACAATGTGGGATGAAGTGTCTTCTTGCACAATGAAATGTCCAGTTTAAAAGGTAAGCAGAGAGAGGAGAGGATGTCAAAGCTACACCTGGGATATTAGCTGCATATTGAAACTGGGGGATCGAGACTGCTTGGTTAAGGGGGCTCCCGGACTCAGCAGCTCTTTACTTTCTCCAGCTTGACCCAGTCGGTCTTCCTGTAGACTGATAGTTGAATAACGATTAGCATTATGAGCAGCTAAATTAGTAGCTCCCTCAGGGCCAACCCCAATGCTGGTACTTGCTTGACTGCCATTTACATAGTCAAAAGATTTACTTGAGGAAGCACTGGCTGTCCGGATTAGAGTTAAACTATTGGTTTTTGGCACAACCTGGCCAGCAGGCAGACTCAGGTGTTTCTTCATCGGTGTCAGCTCAATTGAATCTACACTAAGATCAGCTGGTTGCTGTACATACTGCTTGCGAACTACTGAATCTCGAGGGGTCTCATTGGATCTGCTTGCAGAGGCTGTTTCTTTATCCTTGGCTGAACGCCCAGTTGCTACTTTCCTTAAGCTTCCCCTCTGAGAGGAGGATGCAGGTTTGGTCCCAGTTGGCTGACTGCTGAGGGAAGCCCCTGAAGAAAATCCTTCATCTGCATCATTCAGGTTTACAGATTCCTCTCCACCATTTATACCGTCAGCCCCTGAAAACAAAACAGACAAACTCAGCAAGAGTTAATTAAATAGGAAGCAGCTGTGAAGAGCAATGCTGGCCTTAATCTCTTGGATAATATTTGCTACTGGTTGGCAATGTTTTATTAGGGGAATAAAAGTCTATCTATACAGAATTCCAATATGGTATTCATTCTGCTTATTTAGTTTAATTACCATACTCTTGTAAAACTGCCTATAAACTGTACTATCTAAATTTTGGTGCCTAAAACATTCTTCACGATGTCTCTAACAATAATACTTTGGCCATGTGAGGTGCCTATTCTGTCAAACTTTTTTCCCCTCATATCGTCTGGAACCCACCATAAGGCAGACCATGCAAAAGAGAGACCCTTCTAGTTTTCAGCTACTCAGAACTACAGCAGAAACTCACTCTCAACTCTGATTAACCACAATAACAGTTTTATTCAAAAGCTAAAGGCTTCTATGTTGCTTGAGAACTTTTAACACTGAATTAGCAAATCAAACTAAAACTAAAAAACTCTTCCAGTAACTTTATAATCACATTTTGTCTTATAGACATGCCTGTTGTTTTCCATATTTTCTTGATCAATTAATGTGAAGAAAATATTTACCTATCAGAGAGCAGGGCTAAAGAACCCCAAGGACATCTAACTAAGATTTTTACTTCCCATATAATATATTACTATCATATTTTTTCATGTATTATGGGTATGTATTATTATCATAATAAAAATACTATCGTGCCCTATCATACTTCATGGAGAAACTGTAGTTAACAAAGGAACCTTAATCTTGGGATTTTGTGGGAAGGAGAGCAGAAATATACAGATTGCCTGAGGGTTTTCTGAAAGGCCAATTCTCTCACTAACATTACAATCAATATTTTCTTAGAAAGTGACACATTTGCCTCTTTCACAAACAGATAGTGACTTAATAAAGCATTAATTGTCCAGACTACAAGAGGGTTTACCCTAAATCTGTTAGAAAACACAATTTTAAGAAAATATTACTTTGAGATACAGATTATATAAGTAAATTTACATGAAGTATTCATACATAAAATATTATTATATTTTCTCATATGGATCATTATTTCTTTCCAAAGGAATAAAACAGATTATCTTGAAAGCAAAAGCATCCTTTTTTATTATATCCAGCAGTTTAATAGTCCTCGGCTATCATGCAAAGCCATGTGAAAATGCCCCAACTAAAAACAGTAGCAGCTGACACCACTTCTCTCAACCCCTTCTTCAAAGGAAGAGTATAATGACCTCAAAACCAAAGCTTCAAACTATATTCATATATCATCTTAATGATTTACTGAAAATAAATATAAAGAATCCAAATGTCCAAGAAAAAGTGGTTACTAGTTCAGAATTAATACTATCAATATTAGACTAGAAGTAAATAGAAATCTATCACTGCGTATCTCTATTAGGAGAGGAGACTGAGAGACTTAGTGCTAGCTTCTGCATCTAGCTACATGCAGATCTGAAGCCCAAGCAATATAGCCATAAGAGAGAGAACATAAAAGCCACCATGCAAGAGAATCTCAAATTCACTGCCACCCACTTGATTCGACTGACAGTAACCCACTAAGACAGAGTAGAACCATCTCTGGGTTTCCAACACAGTAAATCTTTATGGGCGTAGAACGCCTAATTTGTCTCCTGCAGAGCAGCTGGTGGTTTTGAACTACTTACCCGGCAGTTAACAGCCTGACACATTAATCCACTACTCTACAAATGTAGTAGAATACTGAGTAAACTTTAACCAGAGGGACCATCCTCAGGCTACTAATAATTTTAATTCCAATTTTAAAAATTAAAATTAGAATGTTACTTGACATTCAGGAGAAAGGTAGCCAATAGATTCATATCTTTTCTTCAATTTCAACCTATATAAGTATAACCGTAACCCTTCCAAGATAAATTTTCTGATTTGAATTTTAGTTGAAACATGCTTTCAGTAATGAAAAATATTTTAATGAAATGAGGTAATATTAATTTTGACACAATCAATAAGAGACATATATCTTGATGGTGCTGGGGTTGTTAAAATAAGGCTCGTTTCTTCAGAGTGAAACATTTACACACATTACTGCCCTGATTGCCTGGCAGCAGGAACTTAAAATGGGGCAGACACTTCCCATTAAACCCTAAAGGTGGAAAATGTAGGTGGACACTATACAAAGGGGTGCCCCCAAATGACCCGGATTCCCCTGCCCCCTCCCCGTCCCCAAGCTATGTACTTAAATTTTTTTTACAAAACAAGCTTATCATCTTCAAAGGATTCTCCACTACACTTAATACATTTGTCAAATCTACAATTCCATTCCTGGAAAGACTTTTCAAACTCATCTGTCTGGATGGCTGACAGCACCTCCCTCGTTATTTTCTTCACCTCTTCTACATCCTCGACTCACTGTCCTTTCATAATCCCTCTTCATTTGTGGAAACAAAAATAAGTCACATGGAGTGAAGTCAGATGAGTCAGGTGCCTGGGGCAAGAGAGGTGTGCTGTTCTTTGCCAAAAAACTGGCACACTGAGATGGCTGTGTGAGCAGGTGCGTTTTTCATGGTGGCAAAACCAGTCCCCCGTCTGCCATAACTGAGGCCTTTTTTGGTCACACACTGTTATGCAATCTTTTCAAAACCTCTAAATAGAAAACTTAACAGTCTGAAGTCTGAGCTGGTGGAACAAACTCCATTTATTAAATGCAGGAAATTGACAAATGTCCAGAACAAGGTTTGTCATCAATCGACATTTCACCTTTTTTGAAAGGAGAAAACCACTCATACACTTGAATTTTTCCCATAACACTGTCCTCGTAAGCTGTGTTCAGCATCACAACAGTTTCTGCATCATTCTTGCCAGGTAGGAAACAAAAATTCACAGCCGCATGCTGTTCTCTTAAATTGGCCATCACACACAAAAAAACAAAAAACCGAGGTTCGAGCAAAATTGCTTTTACATAAAAATTCACTGGGACCAGAAAAAACCTTTACAGGCGACGCCAGCGGGTGCACTACCTATGAGAGGGTCACTGGATACTCGCCTAGCAGGAGAACTGCACACTACAAAAGCTCCACTCCACTCTACCCAGTGCAATACCGGTTTTTTGGGGGTACCCCTCGTATGTCTCACAGGTCTTTAAAGGTTGACTTCAAAGTCATTTGAAAGTATCACACCCCAAAACTTGTTTTCTTTTCAAAGGAAAAATATTATTAATGTTAATATAAAAGCTCTAGCCAATTTGTAGAATCACCAACATTTTTCATCGATTATATACTTTCTTGCTTCTATTTAATAAACTTTAAGGAAAAGACAATTGTTGCCTTACAACTATTATTTTCCCTGCTGATTTTCTCTGTACATGATAAAAATACCAATCATGACTCAGAGAAGAGATAATGGAAAAGAATTTTGTAACAAACTTTTCGTGATTGCCTTTACTTATAAGTTTGGCCTCTATTGACTTAAAACTATAATTTATTTAGATTAAAAGGTAAAACAATTTTGTGAAAATTTCAAACAATCTTTATTTGTACATAAATCCCTCCTTCAAAGCAAACCTTTTTTTCATTGATAGGAGATACAAAAATTAAGTAGTATTTGGATTCCCTTTTCAAAGACAACTTTTGAAAGAAGTGTTCTAACTTAATACCCATTTTCTAGAGTTTCACCAACTGCTATTTAGCACAAATACTCCCTCACTATAAAACATTGGTAGCAGACACACTTCAATGTCTCATTCAATCACCACGAATGTTGTTAAATAAGTTTTCTCAATTTAGGGCAACTCTGGGTTCAACATATACTGTGGTGTTCTCTCTCTCTCTTTTCAGACAAGGTAAAACTGACCCCGAGGATAAAATAGATAATGAAAAGCATAAAAAGGTTTTTGCTGCATTTTATACAGCCACTTAGAGAATGATCTCTGCAAACTAGCAGTCACTTCTCTGGGACCCTCGGTCATGCACATGCAACACTGTTAAATGAAGTCAAGGTCAATATGGACAAATGGGCAAAGGAGATTTAGGCAGATTTAGATTCTTACTGAGCATGCTCAAATTTCTAATGTACCAATAAAGCAAAATACCTCCACTAGGATAGAGGTAATAGCTACATGTATGTTTTGTTTTTAAAGTAAGTAAAAATGTGTAACCTATTTTAGAACTACATGATATAGTCCCTAAGGAAATATAAAGATTTTACAATAGTAATTTATTAGATAGTGTTTATTATTCAATAAAACACATAAGACACTACATAATAAAAAAAACTATTTGGCAACTATTGTTGCCTTCTTTTACAGAGCCAACTCTTATGGGTATTGTATGTCAAACAGCATGTACCTGTGTTCCCATCAAAAAGCAGCTCTTTGATAAATGAGTGAGGGACACGAAAGCAGATTCTCACTCTGAGATACTTACACTGTTTGCTAATTTGCTTCTCAAGGATACCTGGCCTGCAAGGAATATATTCGATTTTGTTTGGGAGCTGTGTGATACAACTTGCAATAAATCCTAAAATGTGGTGTGCATCATTATAGCACATTTACAGTAAGTAATCGACTTAGAGCTAGTCAACTTGATCCAAGAATGTACTGTATACTCTAGTCAAACAAAAAAGAAATTCGTGAAAGAAAAAAAAAAAGAAATTCACGTTACTGGACTACCTGGGATTAGAGATGAATTGATTGGCTTAATCAGTCTAGTTTTTTTTTTTCAGTCTAGTTTCTTAAAGATAGTGTAATAATATTTCAAAACACACACCATAGATTTTTAAAGAATAAATTATCAGGTGAATTGATAACAAGGCTAACAAGGTTCGTGCCTATTGGAAGTATTTTTTTTCTTTTCCTAGAATTAGAATAAACATGCTCAGTAATGAAAAAATTCCAAGCATTTGCAGATCTTTTTGAGACAGGCTCCCATCTTGTTAGTAGCCATGCCAAGCTGTTCTTTGATCACACAAGGATGCAGACTCCAGGCCAGCACAAATGGTAACTAAAGATTATACTTGACCTGGTGCTAGGCATTAGGGAGGGTGTGCTTTGCAAAGAGAAGCTAATACACCCTGGGGTAGTGGACACACAGACTAGAATGGAAAGATGTTCTGCTTGGGCATAGAGAGCCAGGATGCTTCTCCATCAACTGCCTCACTGACTTCTGCCTCCTCATCTCTGTCCTACCCTCTGTTGTGGCTGCTGCTGAGTTGGGCTCCGGCGAGCCATGCTCAGGGCTCCTGCGCACCAGGACCTCCCCCTCTTGCACACGTTTGATCCCTAGGTCAGTGGAGCCGTGTTGGATCGGGGAGCCAGGAATACTCGAGTCAGCCTCGTTTGAGAAGTCAAAGCCATCTGGGATTCAACATATAAAATTTTAGTGCTTTTATGCTCCTCTATTCTTTTCTGAGCATTTTGACCCAGGCAGATAGAGAATGTAAATATGGATATGATATAAAAACAAACACTATTTATACAGTAACATGTGTGTGCACAGCATGCACACACATAAGGTAGCAGATGAACAATGTGAGGTTTGCAAATGAATAGAGCAGAAAAATATGGATAATTAAATTGTGATTAATATCTCTTAGGCAGGACAGCTTGACAATTCAAGTGCCATATACCTATTGAAATACTGCTGGATTTAACATTTACCAACGCCCCCCCCCAAAAAAGTACCCTAAAATGCAAAGCAAAGATCAAAATATAAAAACAAGAATGAATTCTCTTAAAGACAGCTTGTATCATACTTTTAATTTGGCCAGTTATATAGTTTCTCCCACAATGCCCACAAATACTTTTTTTTTCAGTATGGTAACTTATTAAAGAAAATGTTTCTCTCGTCTTATTACTACTTTAAGAAAAGGTAAAAGTGAACCTAGTCTTTTTCACTGCTTTAAGATTCAGAGTCTGAAATATATATATATAAAAACCTTAGGCATTCAAATTCACATTCCTAGTACTACTTTTTTCCAAAAGAGCTCTAGCTTGTTTACACAGGTTGCTAATGTCATGATCAACACAGTCTGTAAAAACAGTGACATATGTATTGGAGTACATGAGTGTACCACAGAGAATTTATAATCACCTTCTCTCCTCCATCTGTGACGACGGATTGAAGCTGTTGTAATTGCAGTACGAGATACCCTCGGCACTGTGGGAGTGACTTCCACTTTAAGGACTTTCTGGCCTTCTTGTGTAGAATCAGGAGCATCAAATGGTAATGAGTTTTTCATGGCATTGGCAACCTAAAATGATGATATAAGTCTATACAAATTTACAATCAATATACTTTGTTTATTCTATACTCCACGGTTCTATAATTCTTGAATTTGTACTAAAATGTGTACTTTAAAAATATAGTATGTTAGAAGTGCTTGTAGAGGGGGCTTCAAAAAGCTCCAGGAAAAATGAAGTTAAAAGATAATGGAATATTTAAACAAATTTTATGAAGCTGCTTCAACTTGCCAGTGCTCTTTTATTTGAGACTTTTCAAATGAGGAATATATGTATACATCATATATCCCAGTGTTTCCCTGAAATTGTTGACTTTCAAAGAGAAAGAACAATCCAAAGGAAAAAAAATAGTTGAATACTGACACAAGAAAACAATGCGTTTCTGACATAGTTTAATTCTGATAAATGATACCATTTCTTCCCTCCTCTATTTCCATTAAGAAAAAATTTCTCCAAATACTCCTGGCATTTTGGTCCACCACTTTCTGGTCTCTGTAAACAAGAGCAAATATGCCCAGGTAGAGAGTATTTGCCTTTGATTGGTTCTCATTTCTTAACTGGCTATTCTAATGTGGTAACGATCTTGGGGTATACAATTGCCTGTCTCTCCCGCTGTCCATATGGATGAGTGGAATTCAGCAACCAGAAAATGTGGGAAACGGAAGACCAGTAATTGAGCATATGTGAATAAATTCTCTATGCTAATAAAGAGTCTGGAAGGCCAAGACTCTCGTGGAGGGAGGCCTTCACATTGGTGAGTTCGAGATGGCTCCCACAATCTCCAGCTATAATGGTGCTACTTTTAAGATATTCTTACAAGCACTTGGATGTTTACTATAAGCCTAGAGGCTATCTGCCTTGAAGAGCAATCAGGCTCTATTGTCCACCCCTCCCTAAGCATAACCAACTCCCTCAGATACTGATCATTACTCCTGGAGAGCTCAGGGACATCCCAGGTTAAGCTACCATCTTATCTCTAGTACCCACCCATTCTGTTATGTAGTATGTGTCTCTAGTACCTGTCCACCCATGTTTTGTTGTTTTTTAATAATTCTATTAGGGGCTCATACAACTCTTATCACAATCCATACATACATCAATTGTGTAAAGCACATTTGTACAATCATTGCCCTCATCATTCCCCCATGTTATGGATGTGCTGACTGGGGCTTGCTAGCCCCGAGATTCTAGAAGCCCCTTAGGAAAGACATTTGCTCTTTTTCTGGTTCCTGGCTCACGGAGAGGTGAGAACTCTGCATGGTTTGTCTGTTTCAATGTTTCCCCTCAGTTGCACAACCGCTCCTCAGGACCCTCTCGGTTTTAAGGCTGGCCTTCACAAGAAAAGTGCCTGGTCTGCTGACTGAAGTCTCAGTACACATTTCCAGGGCTAGACTGAGATGGAACTCTTTCCACCCAGTCTGGTCAGTAATAAGGCTGTCGTCTTGTTCTCCCTTCCACATGCCAATCATTTTGTCTATCACTTGGCTCTCGATTTAAATAGAGGAAGGTAGTGTTATTTATTGGGTTTCTCAAAAACTCCTAACAATAAAAGAATGTTTTAGGACTGGAGATAACTAATTTCTTTACTAATACTGCCTTGAAAATGTCACTATTTAATTTACAAAGTTGCAAAGATACTACTATAAATTCTGTTATACATAGAACAAAAATTAGAGATACTTGGATAAGAAAAAAAATCCAAATATCAAAGGGTTATTGCAATACTACTTTAATGCATTTATATTTATATTAAATATAGCATATAAAGAAAATGGCTATTTTTAAATTTCCTTCAAAGAAAATGCACAACTCACATGAAAAATACCATTATAGAAACACTAAGGAAACAGAAAAAAGTGAAAGCAAATAAAAATCATGTACAATTCAATAACCTAGACAATTTACATTTTAGATTTTCTGTTAATATCTAAAATTTTTAAAATCCCTGCATAGGCTTTTACCATTTACTCAAAATGTATAAAATTTTGTAATATAAATCCTAAAGTATTTAATTTCATCAATAAGCATCAAGCTGTGTTCTCTGCTGTGAACATTTGTTATTGCTAGGTGCCATCAAATCAGTTCTGACTCATAGTGACCCTATGTACAAGAGAACAAAATACTGCCCACACCGGAGCCCATCCGTATAATTATTGTTATGTTTGAGCCCATGGCTGCAGCCATTGTGGCAATCCGTCTTATCAAGAGTCTTCCTCTTTTTCACTGACATTTGACTTTACTAAACATGTCCTTTTCCAAGACAGATGTTTCCAAGACAAGACATTTTCCAAGACAGATGTTAGTTATTCTGGCAGCCAAAGTATTTTCAATATTATGTGCCAACACCATAATTCAAAGGCATCACTTTTTCTCCAGTCTTCATTAATCATTGTCTAGCTTTTACATGCATATGAAATGATTTAAAATAACATGCCTGATGGCAGCATGTGTACAAATGTGCTTGACACAATGGATGCTTGTGTGGATGGATTGTGGTAAGAAATGTAAGAGCCCCTAATAAAAGTATTTAAATTAAAAGATATTTTAGCCTAATAAAATTGGGAAAAGGTCAATAAAAAAAAATAATAACATGGCTTGAGTCAGGCAATGTAGTCCTCAAAGAGACATCTCTGCACTTCATCACTTTAAATAAAGAAGTATTGCACAGCAGATTGACCTGGTGCAATATGCTGTTTGATTTCTTGATGCCTTTTCTATGAGTACTGATTGTGGATCCAACTAAAATGACATCGTTGACTTCAATCTTTTCTCCATTTTATCATGATGTCTATTTCTCTAGTTGTGAGGATCTAATTCTTCAACTTAGCTGATCTTTATTTTGAAATATTTAGATAATATTTATTCTTTTGTAATTAAAAATATCATGGCAATATTATGTATAAGTTTTTTCTGCCTTTAAAATAGTTTACTAAGTTAAAATGCTTGAAATGGGTTTATTCTTGTCATGGGGTAGTGGGTCAAATACAATTTACTTTTTTGGCAGGGGGGTTACAGGTGGGGAATATAAAATGTTTACATAAAATAAATATTAATTGAATTTTCTTGTAAGTTCTGCTGTGAATATTTTTGTATATTCAAAATTTTAGAATTTTAGAAAGCAGATGGTTTAGAATTTAGATGTTTATGTGGTCAAAAGATCAATCTTTTTTGTGACTTTCCCATCATTTGAGCTTATAAAGTCTTCCCTTCCCTAGAGATTCCAATCAATATATATGTTTTCTTTGTATCTTTTACTTTAAGGATTACATGACATCAAAATATTTAAGTTACTTGACCTTTGTTTCTCTATAAAACGATCACATATTGAATAAGGTGACCAGATTTTAATATTGGTAAAGCGGGACACCATTGATAAAACTCATATCCTGGCGAAATAGCCACATGACAGCCGAAAACCATATACCCTAGCTTGTTGTGCATTCTTTCCAAAAATCGGGACTTTTAAAAACACCCGGAACATGGGAAAAATTGTTAAAAATCAGGACTGTCCCACCAAAAGCGGGACGTCTGGTCACCTTAATATTGAAGTAAGATCACATATTGAAGAAGGATCTAAATCAAATTTGCTTTCCTTGAAACAGTTAACCAGTTGTTATCATAGAATAAAACTTTGTTCTTCATTGATTCGATTGCCTCGTATATTCTATTACTTTACACATTACATTATATTGTGGCAACGAATATTTACTGTATCATGGGCTGCCAGAAGCCCAAACAACTTTGTCTTGGAAGAAGTACAACCAGAATGCTCCTTAGACATGATGGCGAGATACTGTCTCGCCTACTTTGGAAATATTATCAGGAGGAACCAGACCCTGAAGAAGGGCATCATGCTTGGAAAAGTAGGTGGGCAGCAAATAAGGTGAAGACCCTTGACGAAATGGCCTGACAATGTAACACTGAGCACCAACGTAGCAATGGTTGTGAGGATGGCTCAGAACCTGGCTATGTTTCATCTGTTGTACACAGGTTGCTGCAAGTCGGAACTGATTCCATGGCAGCTAACAAGCACATGTATTATATATTACTTTACCCAACAGTATTTTCAGAACAGTGTTTTCATATAGTGATGGGTTTATTAAAGAGTTAAGACAACTTACCAACAGTGGCTGCGAGAAGAGTTCTAGCTGAGCTCTGTAAATGATGTCATCAAGGACTTCCTGACCAAGGTCCCACTGTCCATTATACCTACCAAAAGACAGATAATTTATCTTTTCTCAAGTATCTCTATTCTTTAGTACAACCTTTTAACTACTACAAGACTTACTAATCTGGTTCTAAAACAGGCTTTAACGTCAATTTTTATATAAATTTCATTTCTAAGTAATACTATTTTCGATTATAGGAGAGAATGAATTTTCCACATATTAACATTTAAAATACTTTACAGTTGTTTCTGCACATAAGTTGGTTTTTATCACATGCTGAACAATCAATTTAATGTACTCATGAAAAATCTTGAGCTATGAACAAAGCTAAAAATGGTAAAGTTATAGAGTATTCCATAAAGAGAATGTAATGAATTCTAGACTTTAATTTTAATGACTACTTTTTAAACATTAATTAGTTAGGAAGCACTAAAAAGGAATTCATGTAAGAAAAACAAAATAAGAACAAGTGTGTGTGCAGAAGTTGTGCGTTCAAAATAGTTCCCAAACATTAATAAGAATCAATACAACTTCAAATTCCAATTACTTACATGGCATAATAGACTCCTGTGAGAAGTTGCACCATAAACTCAGGATCCAATACTACTCGACCACAGAGTTCTTTCCAGTGTTTGTCATGTTGCCTTGGAAACCCACTAACACACACCCTACGGAGATACAGTATTTACCATGTTTGATTTCCTGATTTATTAAATAATTGTTGCCTCCATAACTTAATTTTCATTTCTTAAATATTACACTGCTTATATACAATGTGCCACTCTCTGTTCTGGGTTTAGGCATACAGTTGTGAACAGGCTCTCATATAGCATGCCCTCATAACACACATTCTAGTGGACGGTAGTAACAATGGTAGTAACAATTCAACCTTTCTTGAATACCTAACTACTTCTTTTCGCAATCATCCCTCTCCCTCTTCACAGAAGAAAAGCATAACTCTCACTCCTTCCAAATTATATCACGATGAATCAACGGGAAGTATAGAAACTGTAAATGAAAGGAAAATATTGCTGTCTATGAGCACCCCCTTTGATCAAAGTACCATAAACAAGTCTTATTAAAAGGTATTTTCTATAACAGTTCAGAAGGCAGAGTGAGGAAAGATGGAATGGAAACAAGGAACATGGGCTAGCACTCAATGACATGACACAAAATGTCTGAATCTTTCAATGGCAAATTAATTTCTTATGTAACCTTCAACCAATTCACAACAAAAAGTGAAAAGCAAAATGTATTTAAAATTATCAAAATCAAAAGTTAAAATGTATCTATTGCTATTTTAAACAATAATTGAAATGGTAAGCAAGTTTGACATAAAATATTTACTATTTAATGTCTTGTAATCACAGCAGAGATATTTGATTGTGTGATTAAGATGTACAAGCAAAAAATACCACTTTATTAGGATAAAATTATGTGGAGAAAGTAGAATAGAAATTAAATTTCAAGGAGAAAAAGGAATAATGTAACATTAAATTATTGAAGAACTTGTTCATCGATTTATCAGACATAATAGTGGTGGGCTATAAACTCAGGATGGCATTTACAACTTAAAAATGTGCAAAACTTACACAAACTCCATCTTGTCTATTCTGACTTAAAGTGACCCTATCAGACTATGTAAAAAGGCCCCATGCGTTTCCGAAACTGTTTAATTCTTCATGGGACTAGAAGCCCATCTTTTTCCCAAATAAATATGCAGAGACTACATACATTTTAAAATTCTTTTAGATGATAGGTGGCCAAAAATTTGAAGATAATTGAACTCTGCCATTATTTATCAAGAAACTTTATTAAAATATTATCAATTTGAGATTTAACAGATTTGTTTAATGAATCAAATATAACTCACTGAAAACCAAACTCATGCCAAGGAAATTCTGCCTCACAGCAATCCCATAAAATATAGTAGAACTGCCCCTACATGTTGCCAAGGCTTTAAATCTTTATAGAAACAAAAAGCCACATCTTTTTCTCACATTGTGGCTGGTGGATTCAAACTGTTGACTGTGTGGTTTGCAGAGCAATACATTACACAACCAGAGCTCCAAATCAAATGGAGTAATTCATAGATGTATCTGCAAATAAGCATTGAGTGTCTAAACAGTATATTCTCTTTAAAAATAATTTCTAGCTCATAGACAAATCTGTTATAAAAGTGTTAATCATGTTATTATAGGCAAGTAAAAATGATGTATACTTTAAAGATAATTTTAAAATCTAACATCTAGCTAGTGTAGATTTGCCTTCCCCAATTAGAAAAATTACACCTGATTAAAAATGGGATCACATTTCTTCTCAGCAATCAGTAACATGTGGACTTGAACAATACATTTGTGGTGGGCATACTCTTAAGGAGTCATGATTCCAAAGATATTCATACCTCCTGGCAGTCTCACCATTTCCCCATCGCCTCCCCTTGTGTCTGAGTGAAACCTGTGACTTACTTCTAACCAACAGAAGAACATGACTAAGGCAACTGGATATTCTGGGTACGTGATAATATTACATTAAGACTGCAGTAAAGATTTTTCTGGAGTCTCTCTTACTCTCTTCTTGGCTTTGAAAAAGCATGCTGCCTGCTTGCAGCTGCCTACAGCTGTGAGAGGACCCACAGCAAGAAATTAAAGATGCCTCCTGCACACTGCTAGCAAGGACGGGAGCCTTTGGTCCTACAATCACAGGGAACTAAATTTTGTTAACAAAAGTGTTCCTTCCCCAATCAAGCCCAAAGGAGACTGCGGCTCCAGCTAAAATCTTAGCTGCAGTCTTGGGAGGCATTACCTAGAGGACACAGCGATGTCATGCCTGCGCTTCTGAGCCACAGACACTGTATTCTTTTAAGCCACTGAGTTATTGAAATTCTTTGACTCTAAATACTTGTCACCAACTCATTTATATCACTTACAATTCTTTTTTCTTTGATGGAAATTTAAATTTCAGCTGAGGCACATATATCTATATTACTATAAATTCTGATTTAGAAAAAATTACAATCTAAAGAACACACACACAGAAATGAAACACAGAGATGGATCTGCGTTAATACCAAATTCCTTATTCAACACTAAGACAATAATTTGTGAAAGGTATCAAGAAGCCTGAGAAGGTAGAGTGAAAGAAAATGTAAAATATATGGGAGTAATTAGTTCAAAGGACTAGTGGACCACTTCAGCATCAGTCTCCAAGACCCTGAGACTAGAAAACCAGACAGTGGTCAGTTACCACTCCAACTGCTCTGGAAAGGGTCACATTAGGAGTCCTGAGGAGAGTGGAGAAAAAAAATGGAACAAAATTCAAAATCACAAAAAAGAGCCATGCTTTCTGGTTGGATAGAGACGGGGGCAACCCTGACCCTATGACACTTAGTCATCCTTCAAGTCAGGAAATTAACCCACCCCCATGGCTCAATTTTCAGCTGGACCACAGAAAGGACTATGAAAGAAATAATAACATAAGGGAGGCATGCACACCTTAGAATAACTAATCATTTGAAATCAAAAGGATAGCCTTTACCCAAGGACAAAGTTCAGAAGGGTTAGGAAAGGAGGAGGAATGGAAACAGGAAACAGAGTAGAATTAGGAATTAAAATCAGTGCCATGAAACAAAGTAGGTATGAACTGTTTAATAGAAAATGGATTTGCGAAGATGGGAGAGAGTGCAAGCCATGACCAAGGAGCACACACAGGATGGACTCCACAGAGAACAGCACAAAGGAGCCACTGAGAGGGATATCCTACACTTCCAGACCACAAATTTACTAGAGTTAGAGAGCAGCAATAAGACTCCCCTTTGTCATCTCCACAGCACTCGGCCAGCTGAGTGCAGGCTCCTGGGTCTCCCAACAGAGGAGCTAACTAGGGGGGAGGGAAGCGCAGTGGTGGAGCTGCAAGGACATAGTTCTACAGGACAGGATGAGCCAGGGGCAGATAAATATATAAATAGCTTTGGCTCTCCATCCAGGACAGAAAAGCCCTGGTGGATACCCCACTGTCCACTGTCCTGGCTCCCAAATAGCAGGGGCAACACAGCCTCCTGAGCTGCATGGGGATATATCTATAGGGCAGCCTGGAGCAGACATAAGTAGTGAACATAAACCCAGGGAACTCCAGCCCCACTGGGCAAAACCAATCCCCCTTCCCTGAGGTATATAGCTCAGCACAACCCCCATCTCAAAATAACCCAAAATGCCCCAAACCTTAGAAAACATGTTTTATTTTTTTAACTTCTCAGGTCCATGAACAGAGTATCAGCATCAATACAAATAGAAACTGCAAAAGCAGTTTGAGATTAGAAAACAACAACCCTAAAGCCTGACTCCAGCCCCTACTGAGCCCCCTGTGGCAGTTACGTAATCTGGTGTCAGTCTGGGACTTGAGAGGATTAAGAGTGAAGGGGTGGACTCTAGTCTGTCAATTGAATCATAGCCAATGAGGTCTCTGTGTGGGCATGGTCTTCTCCTGAGAATTCTGGAAAATCCGGTTCCTCCTTGGGGACAGGAGACACTTTCTCTCTCTCCTCGCTCCCTTGGAGACGCTCTACTGACAAGACACATTGCGCTACACTGATAGAGCTCATGCCCTGGAATCTCAAGGAACCACGTGGAGACCCTGCCAATGCTGAGATGCCTCTACCGCCACTGGATCCACAAGACTATGATCTTCCTGCATTGGGTGTCATTGCCTGTGTTTCGTGAGACTGAAGAGGACTTTATAGATTGGTATCAGACATATGAGCTAATATTGGACTTGATCTGGACTGGGATGTTTTCTCAATATTTAACTGTTCTTGTATATAAAGCTTTCTTATACACAACATATGAGGGTCTATGAATGTGTTTCTCTAGTCCACCCAGACTAACACCCCCACCTCCAGTCTATCAGATAGTAACCTGCCCTCTGAGTAGGCTTTATTCCCTCCCCACTAGCACACCTAGGTAGGTGGCAGGTATAGACTTCATTCCCCGACTCCCACTTGACCACCCCCATTATCCAAGAGTGAACTCTACAGGGTAGCCTGGAGTGGGCGTAAATAGTAAAAAGACCAACTTTTCACACAAGCCTAGGAAGCTCCAGCGCAATTTGGCAACACTTAGCCACCTTCCCTGAGATTCAGTTCAGAGCAGCCCCCAACCTTATAACACCTACAAAGCCCCAAAAGCTTGAAGAACAGGAGCATTGTAATGCTTTACCTCCACCCCTTTCTTTTTCTCTCTTTTCAAACATCTTTGGGTGCCAGCTAACACACATACAAACACTTCCTTAACAAAGTATTACCATAACAAACAAGTAGAAACTGCAGCAGGTTTTACAAGCACAGGCAGGGAGAATGGGCTTGAGACAGACACTAGAAGCCTAGGCGCCCAGAGGCTGCTCAGGGAACACATACCTAGCTATCCAGCTCCAGGTCAGTATCCCCAGTCTCTTACATAAGCTACTTGCCTTCTTGGGTAGGTCTTTGCTTTATTCCACCCTCCTAGGCCACCTAGGTATGTGGTAGGTATAGACCCCATTCCTCAAACCCCACTTGGTCACCCCCACCAGGGCAAGGTGTGGGACTCAGCTGATCTTTTGGCCGGTATTTTTGTTGCTTTGTGTTCTATCATTCCTTTACCCTCCCCCTCTTTAACACAAAGTTGTGCACTAT